CTACGGTGCAAATGACGTCGGCATCGTCGTCTTGTTCTTCTGTATCTTCCCTTTTAACAAATTCCTCAACTTCCGGTACACCATCATCGTCATCTTCTACATCGACTATCTCAGCGGCGCAGCATGGTGCTCGTGCAAGTGAATTGCCAAGCAATATACTAAAACCAGACGAACTTCACAGTTATTACAGGCGTGCAATTATAAATTATAGTAAATATAGCACCGCCGCCGTAATCGAGAGTGAGGCGGCACTAAAGGCAGCGCGTATTTCGATTGAGCAAAATCGGCCATTAGATGTGGCTATGTTCCTGCAAAGTATACTCTACTTAAATGTGAGCATGAACGAACCGGAGCGTGTAAAACGTTTCGAAGTGATAACCGATTTGTATCACCAAATCGGCTATCGACGTAAAGCGGCCTTCTTTCAGCGCCGAGCAGCACTCAATTATGTACAACAAGGCAATCCGAATCCCGATTGGTCGCAGACATATCGGTTAATGTTGGAAAGCTTTTCCGGCTATTTACTTTCGCTCGATCCAATGGAGGTGATCGATAATGCCGCCGGTTGGCCAGCTTTACAAATAGATTTGCTGCAAGGTGTCATCGCAGCGGCGCGACGCCTAGGTCAATCTGCATTAGCTACACGTCACATGACTTTCTTGCTGCAAACACAGTGGGCGCATATGACACCAACGGAGCAGAGTGAATTGTCCGTGCAATTACAGAATTTAAGTGCGCAATGTGAAGGTTCACCTGTGCCTCTGGTGCTGGAAAACGGCACTGTCATACCACCAGCCAATTTAACGGATTTACCCTATTGCATGGACTTGGTTGTGCGCGATTTGCCGGCACATCTGCGGCCGCAGCGAATAAAAATCGTCAAAGCAGATAGTGGACCTTTCCTATTCACACCCATACATCTCAATTCAATGGATAGACGTGAAAAGAAGATTGAAAAGAATAAAATATGTGAGTTTTAGATAACAGCCGTTTTCTAATTTGGTATATATTTCTGGTAAAATATTTGTTTTCAGCTTTTCTTTGGGTGCAAAACAATCTAAGCGAGGTAACACTGCGGTTGCGCAATCCATTGCCATTCGAGTTGACTGTCAGCGATATGCGCCTGTTAACGAACGGCATAGTTTTTGAATCGCTACCACAAACGGTAATCTTACAACCGCATGTGCCAACCACTGTGACACTACATGGCACTCCAATTGAAGTGGGTCAGTTAGAGATACAAGGCTATAGCACGCATGCGCTGGGCGTCAAGTCCAATTGTCGCTTGAAAAACATGCGTGGACGCAAATTTCCTCCCAATTATCTAGTGGATGTGATACCAGCATTGCCACGAATTTCCGTAAAGACCTCGTTGCCACAAACGGCGACATTCAGCCAATTAGCAAGTTCCGACATTGTTATAACATCCGCAAGTTTAACATTGTACAACGGCGAGTCATCAACGTGCATTGTAACCATTGCAAATGACAGTCCGCTACCAGTGGAACATTTGGAAATAAGCATCATTTCGAATGTGGAACAGGAATTGCAGAAAAAAATTTTTATTATCGATGAAAAAGACTTGCAAGTGAGTATATATATTACATAAAAACGCTCAGCATTGTACTAAAAGCATTAATTTGAAACAAATATTCTCTCAACAGTCAAAACTTCCCATACAACCCAATAGCTCAATCGATTTTACGGTGCATATATACGGCGAAGCGGACTTCGTCTGCCCCATAGTAAGTCAACGCGCCGCCTCAGTGCATTCTAATAGCACAGTGACAGCTGCTTTGCAAGCAGATTATGCGGGCGCCACAATGGGTGCTGGACCGTACTCATTGCAATACACGACACTTTCATCATCGGGTCACGCGAGCTTGCCTTCACGTGTTAGTTCGCCCAATCAACAGCAAACGTCATATAATCGTCGCAATGAACCAAATAATCTGAGTTTTCGCTCCTCAACGTCGGGCGGCGCACCATCATTGGCAGCGTTGAGTTTGCCACCTGCCGTTACGCAGGGCAGCCACCATGGCTATGGACAACATGTGGAGGCACAGTTTCGTGTGAAATATTCCGGTGGCGAGGCCATGCAACAGGGCTATTGTCGTCAATGTGCAATATCGTTTAATATTGAATTGTTGCCGAGCGCGCAAATAACCAGCTGGGATGTGCTACCTGCAGAAATGTAAATAGATATCCATTTTAATATGTTTATAATATTATCCGTTTGCATTAAAACACGACACCTTCAGTCCTTCGCAGTTCTATTTGGTGCTTGATGTGTCCAATTTGACAGCTCAAGAAATGTCGCTCAATTACACCAACAACAAGAGTATACTGATTGAAGCCAAAGAGAGTTGCCGTGTGCCAATACCAGTCGACCGTTGCTCGTTAGAGCAAGTAGTGGCCGCACGTGAAGCCGAATATGCTGAGAATATGGAGAAAGGTAACTATGTGTATTTATAAAATGTTCTCAAAGAAATGTAAATAACCAAACAACTTTAATCTACAATTTGCAGACCTTTGCTATCGCACCCAACTTCTATCTTTCAGCGACAGTATTAGTAAATTATGCTCCGAACATATAGCAGAGCGTGTGAAAATCAGTTGGTTGCTCACCGGCACCGACATACAGGGCATAGCATCATTACACGGCATTGTGCTGACATCAGCCATGATAGATTTGACAACCGTGTCACCGCTGCAATGGAGTAAGTCTGAAGACGTTTCAACTTCATAGAAGCTATAATTAATTATATATAAAATTTTTTTGTATATTTTTAAAGCCGTGTCATTCCAAAATACACCCGTCCAACCACAATCGGAAATTGTCTGCGCCGCTGGGCAGAGCGCCATATTGAATGTAAGTGTAAGCAACCATTCGGCGCAACCGCTACGTAACCTTGTGCTCACTATCAAATTCTACCAGGATTACTTAAATGGCATGGAAAATTACAATTTAGATACACGCGTCGCCATGTCCGGTCCGAGCAGGTTAGTGGATGCTTTAATGTGCATTTTCTTTTTTGGAAGCATGCATGTCATGACTACACTTTTCAGAGTCTCAATACCACTTCTACAAAAACACGCACAAATTCAACACGAGTGTACCGCAATCTTTTTCACACCTGGTCGCTTCAAGGCAAGCATCCAATGCTGCTCCAAGCCACAACAGACCTCAACTCAATCAGCTCGTAACCAATTGTTAGAACACAAAATGAAGGCAGTACAAGTCAACGACATTGTTGGTAGCGCAGCTAGTTATCATGAACAACAGGAGCACATCTGGAAATTCATACCGCCTATTGAAGTTACCGTTATCGAGCAATAATGCAATATATGCATAGTTAAAATAGTATTTATAGGTAAAAAGTCTAGAACGATTGTGCCCAACAACTGGATGTTGCTGCGTTATTTGTTGGCTTTGCGCGTTGCTCAGACAGTCGTTAAGCTTTCGCATTTCCACGCAGAATTACGATGAAATATGTCATTTGGATGCGCTGCTTTAAAAGCGCATCTTTAAAACCCGCTTATTATTTATATATCTATACATATGTACATATGAATTTTTTCTTATTTCAGTTAAAAACGTTTAGAAAATTAAAATAAGCGAGCTATGCGATTATCAATATGCCTGGATGCGTGTAGAAAAAATTCTCTTCATAAAAAACACATACATTAAAAAAATATATATATAAACTGCTACTGCTCTTCATTTCTTTTATTAGAATTGTGTTTTTGTTAACGTTAATTTAGTTATTTGTTACTATTAATAGATATTGAAATTTCGGTTTTAAGCTGTAAAATTTAATTGTAAAATGTTTGTGAAGCGCGTCAATTACTTGTCCAGCAGTAGTTTAGCTCATCCAAAGAGAACAATAACCAACATTAATTGTTAAAACAAGGCTTGTTTTGTATATATTAAAAATATATAAATCTGTATATCATTAATAGATTATTACTCTGGCTGAACTCTATAAATTAAACAAATTTCTTAATTTTGCTGCGAATAAACGTTTTGTTATTATTTTGGTTTTTGTTTACAATCTTGTGATTAGCTGGCAACTGCGGCGTTACCAGACGTCACGTTAATGCCATCACTTTGGCAGAAGAGTTTGAACAAAATATTAAATACAATTTTGTTATCCCAACCATATTCATTCATATATGTAAGTAAGTAAGTATGTGTTTTCATATATACAAGGAAAAGTTTTATTATGGTGGTATGCCAAAAGGTAGAAAAATTAAAATTCTAACAGATGTAAGTAAAATTTTGACATATTTCGTGGTGATTTGGAATGTCAGAACTTTATAGGTCGTGAGCTGGATAAAATTTTCACAATTTATAAATGTGAATACAATACAAGTAAGTATATAAAAAAAACTAATAAAATTATATGTAACATTTAAGTCAGAGATTATAACATTAGTTAGTAAAAATTAATGTATTAATATTATTTCAAGAACGAGAGAGGCTACTGTTTGAAATGAAAGGTTTAATAAAAATCCAGGACTTAGCAGGAGTTGAATTTCAATTGTCAAAATTTCACTTTCCATAGTAAACTTTTCAACCCATTTAAACACAGAGAAAAAAGTGATCGGCTTAATGAAACAAATAATATACTTTATAATARTAATAATTGGAACAATAGGAATATTAAAAATATTAGCAAATGCTTTAAAACAATATATTATTTAAATACTATTTAAGCAAAAAACAAATTTTGTTAGATAGGGCCAATTAAATGCAGGGTGACCCATTTTTTATCTAAATTTATTAAAATGCAAACATAAAGTTTTTTTTTTTTTAATTTTTAAAATATTCATTAAGTATTGTGTAAGTCGTTGTTCAAACAGTTGATAAAACTAATCTCCTTAAGTAACAACAGTTATTATGTACAAGTCTCTTACACCTACTACTTACCCAGCTACTAAATCTTGTTTATCCAGCAAAAGTACTGATAAGAAAGTGAATGGAGGAATATCAAGTATTTAGGAATAGTACATATGTATGTATGTATGTCTTTATTAAATGATTATACTTTGCCTTTTGCTTTTCAATATACAATTGCGAATAGCAACTTATCTCTAAATCAATTTGCTAATATATAGGAAATGAAATTTTTAGAGAACACAAAGATATGACTTTTTCACAGAAAATCTCATTCATACATGAAATATCCACTTTTGTGTGGATTTGGAAAACTCGGTTTAAATTATCTAACATTTACAGATACGCGACAATACTTAGTCCTCCTTCTTTTCGGCTGCCGATTTCGGCGTATTTTCGATAGCCGCCTTTTCCGCTTGTTGCTCTGACACAGGTGCCGCAGCTTCAAGTCTCTTTTTCGACGCTTCTTCCTCCATTTCTCCGGAGAAACCAAATTCATTTACACGCTTGTAATCAACGCGATATTGCCAGCGCTGATACAAGAATACGAAGAATATAATATCGTCACGGAAACATCCCAACCTATACATAGTAGGCATTTTGATCACAAAAGCAAATATATCATCTATAAATGTGTTGAGGAATTTATATGTCATCATACGCCACGGCAAATGTGCTACGGACTTTAGTTTATAGTTGATGAACAACTGAGGCGTCATCATAATGAAGCCAAATGTTAGGAGGTAGCCATACAGCATATTCAGCACAAATGAATACCATCCCTTGTGCTGGTTATATACTAAAGAGTAGATGAAATATCCAATTAGCAGTGGGAAACATGCCCAGCCCAGATATTTGAAGGCAAGATTGTCATATTCCTTTGTATTACTGTCCGCATATGAACCTTTATCTTGGAAACTAATTTTGGGGAGTATGCCCAAAATTTTCTGGTCAGTGTTGTAATCGATATCGACAACTTTGTGGATTTTCCAAATTTCAATGCCTAATCCAATAAAGCATGAAACTCGAATCATGAAATTGGTTTCATTGTCCAGAACGTAAAGTAGCACAATTAACGACTGAAATACTCCAAAAAAGACGGAGCGCACTGAAAGGCCTTCCAGCGACTTACGGTTGTTCCAGAACTGTATATCATTTTTGAAAGCCAACAACTCGAACACTGAATGCAAAATTGATATAGCAATTGTGAGTCCCAGCAAATATATATTTGTGTCAAGGAGTGTTTCTTTCAATGAATCTTGATCTTCATCCGACTCCTAAAAAATTAATGTGTATATTATATATAATATGTATGCATATATCGAAATTTTTAATTTGCAAACTTACCTCAGGAGCACCAGCTGTCATTAGTTCTCCGAGCATATTTCCACCCCATTTGTTCTTCATCTGTTGTGCGGCATATAATTGCCATTTGAACATACTCAAAGGTTGGAAAGTTATATGTAAATCTAAATCGGGAGTGGTTTCATTTATTGGGAAATATTCACGTTGCAAATTCCAGTAATCATTGATAAATACAATTGGCAAATACGTTTTACCACCATCTACAAACTTGACGTACTCATCTAAAGGTGGTGGTACCGTACCTGCAGCCCAATTGGTTTGATCAACCACTAAGTTTATAGTTATATTTGGATGCCAATGTGAAACTATGGTATCTTTAAGGTTTGCTTGTTCCAGCTCTTTAGCCAATCTTTCCTTCTCTCCTCCAAGAAGATTATAGTTGCGATTAACGCGTATTCGCTTGTATTTATTAAGAATTCTGTGTTGGTAACCCATCATTCCTTTTTTCGCATAATTATCTGCGTCCGGGTTAGGACTCTCTCCAGCACGTGTAACAAACGTATGCAAATAAATGCTGCCATTGTTCATCAACGATTTGGATGCTTTTACTTTTAAATTATGCGTATAAATACCATCACGTTTTGGTCCCGATGACCAATCGCCATATACAAGATCTTCTTGTAACCATATTAAATTCGATTTTTGTTTGAAGTCTACATCATCTGAATGTTCCGACAGCCAAACATGCAAATCAAAAAGAGTACCGTTTTCGAAGTAATTCCATGCGTTCACACGCGGGGCAAGATTTTTAGCTTTTTGCTCACTTGCTTCATTAGTTGCTGGTTGAGGTCGGCGGAAAAATGAACTTATGAAATAAATTATAAGAGCACGTAATATCAATGATTTCGTCATTGCAAAGAAAGACTCCATTTTAGTGGGTTGCCGTTGCTGTTGTTGCTCTTGATTGTTGGGGTCAGCAACACCATCAGCTACTGGTGCCAGCTAGATAGGTTTCCAAAATTATAAATCATTAAATAATATATAATCTTTAATTAGTAGTGATTTCTCACCTCGCCATTTCCCTGCGCAGCTGGTTGCGGCTGTGCGTCAGTTGACATTTTATACAAATAAACTTTTAAGGCAAAACTACTAAGATATGTGTCAAAACGGTGTTCTTCAATTGGAGAAGTTCTGAACAAATGCCTCCTCTCGATATTTGTGTATGGTTTTCTTACCACATGACCTTTTAAGTTAATTTTTTTCAATCAATTCTCACGACTATGTAAAAATGATGTGGAAAAAATTTGACTTTTATGATGGGCAGTGTTACCACTTTAAAAAGGCAAAGAATCTTATTAGAGTTGCCATTTCCTTTACAATTAAAATTCCCGATAAACATCAATTTTGTATTTCTATATAACTGGATTCATCATTCCTGTTACATATTCACTTTGTTGCACATTAAATGATACAAATTCAATTATATGAGAACAATCTCTAAGGTTTATGCAAACATATTTAAAAAAAATTACGAAGTTAACACAACAAATTCTAATAATTGCAAAATTTCGAAGTATATATGATTTCAATAGTTAATTGTGAATGATACATATTTTCTCTAACTTGGCAGCACTTGTGACAAAGTGTCAGAAAATTTCCTGCGATATTAAAAAAAATCCCTTTTGGTTTCTTTTCTAGCATTTCTCTACACGTTTCTGGAGGTAAGCTCATTTCTGTTTGAAAAATTTGTGTTTCAATATTAGTTTTTACGCAGAAATAATAAATTTAATATTTTTTATGCATTCGCAAATCGTGTGAGGTGATTGTGTTTTGTTCTTAACATTATTTTACGTATAAAGTGAAAAAGTTTGAACGATTCTAATTCTAACCTATAAACTCACACGTCACAACTCGTTTTTCCATGATCTGAAGTCAAACCACAATTCTTTGTTTGTGTTTTTACAGATAGACGAGCAAAATGCAGATTTTCGTCAAAACCTTAACTGGTAAGACCATTACCTTAGAGGTCGAGCCTTCTGACACCATCGAAAATGTCAAAGCTAAAATCCAAGATAAAGAGGGCATCCCCCCAGATCAACAGCGTTTGATCTTCGCCGGAAAGCAATTGGAAGATGGTCGCACCTTGTCCGACTACAACATCCAAAAGGAGTCAACCCTCCATTTGGTTCTGCGTCTTCGTGGTGGTATCATTGAACCTTCCTTACGTATCTTGGCACAAAAATACAATTGCGATAAGGTAATCTGCCGCAAGTGCTACGCTCGCCTGCACCCACGTGCAACAAATTGTCGCAAGAAGAAGTGTGGACACACCAACAACTTGCGCCCCAAGAAGAAGTTGAAGTAGACCACTGGAATATGGAAAATTTCGTCGTTTGCGGAGAGTGTTGGGGAGGAAATGCGTACAAACAAAAGCATTCTCCTTTTATTTTTTCTATGTGTACATCAGCTTTGTATGAATTGAAGTGAAAATTTTACTTTGAAATTTGCGAAATAAAACAAAAACCATGAATATTTTTTTTTGTTTTTATTCCGAGAGTTGAAGAAAACATTTTAAACATTTAAACATAAGGTGCTCACATTTAGTAAAAAGGTTTGATGATTATAGTACGAACTTAGTAGGGAAAACACATCTCAGCTCCAGAAAATTCAATTTTGTTCAATTGTATTTGTTTCTAACCAGAATTGATGTTTCAAATAGCGGCCTGCTAAAATACTTGTGCCAAACAAAACTAGTTGTGGGTGGGTATTCCCGGATAATGCCCAATGATCAGCTTATTTTGGCGGTGCGCTCGGATTCATAAATCCAAAATGGCAGCATATGGGCTCGGTTTTTCTCGGTGAGGATATTTCGCACAAATATTTTTATCCAAAGATCTTTAATATTTCACCACAAATACGAATATAACAGTGAAAAGGGTATATTAAGTTTGCCAGAAATTTTGTAAAACCCAGAAAGGAACATACGAAAACGACGAGCTGAGTACATTTAATCATGTTCTTGTCTCTCAGTTATTAAGATATCGATTTGATATTGTATAAATCTCTAAGTAGCTGCTCATTTCTCGGAACCGATATCGGAGTTCTATAGCAAATACATACATACGTATGTATGTAGCTGTCACAAAAACTAATCGTTCAGAATCCATTTATACGCAAACATATATATATTAATATGTGCGTATGTATGAAATATGCGCAGGATCACCCATATATGGTACATATAAACAGGAATCCAACTCCCTTACAGATAACGCGAGCTATCTATGACTAATGTTTAGACAGACACATCGTGTCAAGCTATTACAATAGGTAAACAATACCATAATAATGAATTTGCTACTTCACAATTTAGTAATCAAGTAATTGCACAATTGTGGTGCATAAGGCATGTCTGCATTGGCGTTAGTTCTACTTGAACGGCCATACTCAATGTTCGAGTGACGGAAACGCTTTCCGGTCTGCCTTTCATGGCCGCTCATTGGCGGAAGCTAAATTGTCGCCCCTATGATACCCGCACTAAAAAGAATTTGAAGACTTGCAGCTTCAGCCAAATTTCAATGAAGGTGAACTTTTGCGTATTTACTTTTATAATTAGGTCTTTATGTTATTTAAATAAATATCTAATATTGCAGTTCTCGTGCTCATTTTACCAGTCATCAGCTAACTGTAGTTCATGCCAGGTGTTCTGAGTTGGCAATAACGACGACAGCTGTCATTTTTTTACCTTAACACCGTTGTCTCGCTTTTACATTGAGGGAAAATTGCATGTTGTGAAATAAACATTCGAAAATGAACGTGAAATATTTGTGAAAATAAAACTTTGGAAAAAAGATAGTCAAATGATAGGTACACATATATATTCAGTAATTAAATATATACCGTACATATGTATTTTTAATGTTAGTCGTTATCAAAAATAGGAAAATTATTTTTGACATTCAAACAAACAACTAATGTACACGGTCTTCACAAATACATATGTATGTATCTGAGTGTGTATGTATGTATGTACATGTACATATAGGGATGTGGAAAATTTGAAAGTCATTTCCTTTAATTTTCAGCAACAAAGAAGCGTCAAAATATATGTACAACTGTGAACAATATTCATTGGCCATTGGAAATCATTATATGTATATTCGTGCTGTCAGAAGTCCTATTATACAGAAAGAGATCCGATCAATTAGAGAGAGGTTCTCTAAAAGCTCGCAATCCTATTCTTCGAACTGGTCAAGGTTCTGAACGAAATCGAAAGCGATTATAGATTTACGTTTATATGATTTATACATACTTAAATACATATTTACATATAAACCTAAGTGCATCGTCGAGCTCATACAAATGCATCGATATGCGACCAATGATCCAACAAATCGAACCAAATTTTCACAATGCTTTCCAGTACATGTTCCATCTCTTTCGCGCGTTTTCCGAAAAGCAAATCCATGGCGGCCATAACACTGTGTAATTATGTATTTCACAACTTCAAAATTTCTTCAATGGTGAAATTTTCTTGTATAAATCCAAAGGCATGTCACCAATGGATCCAGTACTACTAAAGCCGTTCATAGTTCATTCCATTGAGAAAAAGTTTAGACGAAGTAAGAAGTTTTAAGATTTTCAAGTTTAAAAAAATAATTCCAATAGAATATAAAAGACTGTGAAACATACATTTTCGTACTAAAATATTATTTAGTGTCTTAAATGAAATAAAAAAATTAAATATTTTCAATAATTAAATATAAAAAATCAAATTTTTCACCACAGAAAAAGTTTCACCATGAGGATGACACGGATTGAGCCCAATCTTGTTGCTTTGGCCGAGAAATACAATGTGAATAAAATGATCTGCCGCAAATGTTATGCCCGTCTGCCGCCTAGGGCCTCCAATTGTCGGAAGAAGGACTGCCATTCCAGCGATCTGCGCCCTAAAAAGATATTGAAGGATTACAAATAAATGCTTACGAATACTGTGATCAAACTACCTCTACATTTTATTAATGGAATGAAATGGAATGATGTGTGTTAAATGAGATTTTAATTATACTGCCGTATATACTACTTGGAGGCAGTCTCCAACAACGCCTCTTTAGAATAAAATTTGTCATCAAGCAATCAAATTATAATGTAATATTAAACATTTAATATAATGTGTACTTGTTGTAAAAGCATTTTTTTACTTTTTTTAATAAAATCATTTATAATAAATATTTTTATATTATATTTCATTTTAAAGGAAGTGTCAGTAGAAAGTCCATAAAGTCACGGGATTAGCAATAATTTGTAAACTGTAATATTAGTTTTGCTATATAGGATTACAGTAGGGAGTGGCAGCTGTTTTAAAATTTTTCATTGAAAGTGGGCGTGGCTCTGCTCCTTGATAGTTTTCATGAACATATCTGACAAGCTACCAAGGCAATAGCAACCAATCGTGCTGGAAACATTTATTTATAGTATTTTATAGTATGAATGGTATGAAAATATATGAAATCGGATAAAAATCACGTGCATCACGCATACAAAGTTTAAGTTAGAAATGCTAAAAATATGCGAATTCGCTAAGAAAATCAGCAGAAGCCATTTACCTTAGCAAGCTATAGCAAGGAAAGGGCTCATGTAAGTATAAAATTTGCGTTGGGCGTGGTTTTGTTTGTTATGTTCTTATAAATACATAAGTAGCTGTGATTTGTGTGTATAGATGAACTTTCTACTAGATAAGACGAGCACAAGATAAGTATGAATATAAGATATGATTCGTTTGCAATCGAATGTGATACCTTTATATGTACCTAAGGGGCTTTGCGAAAGCGACTAAAAGTTTGGATTGAATTTAGATCTCTCCGATTTCGATCCTAAGCTTCTAAATCGGAATCTATTATTTTAAAGAAAAATCGAATTTTTGAGTTGCGCCTTCTTACTCATCAACAACTAACTGGCGTTCATGCGAGCAGTTCGCCGTGCTGAGAGCGCTCCCATTCTCTATTTAACACTCAGCAGCTGTCTCGATTTCCCATGGAGAGAAGAAAATATTTTGAAATAATGGTAGCATAACAAATTCGTAAAATAATTTGGAATATTTGGGAAAATAAAATTTGGT